ATGAAAACAAGAAAGGGAACAACTGTGGTGATTGCTGTTACAGCAGTGAACACTTCACCACATCTGGGCTAGCAAAATGGAGAAAACTGAAACCCCCGCTATTACTCACCAAGACAATTATGTGTCCCTTTGAGAAAAGCTTGTTATTGTATTATTGGTTAAAAATGTCCCACGCCTTAGAAACATGTCAGATTCAATAATCATAGACACCTCTTCGCCAGTTTTTAAAGTAAAAGAAAAAGTTACCTGAAGAAGTTACTGCTTTTAGAGTGCATACGTTTTTATTTGGAGGATCTTGATTATTAGGCCTCTTACACAATCCTGGTGAAAATTCATATATAATGCAAGTATAAATTTCAGTCTTTATGCCTGGGTCATGCTCATCGCTATAAACTACTGCAAGGAAATTACCCCCAAACAATTAATGGTTCAAATGGATGATAAAGTATTGCTTGTCTAAAATCATGCGCCTAGTGTAGGTGGGGGAGAGCCCTCAAAGGCCACCATCAGGCATTCTGAAATTCAGCCATTCCCGCGTGCGCTCCAGAGATGAGCAGTCAGTCTGAGGGACTCTCATTCTAAAGAACAAAGGACAAATACAGTCAATACATTCCATAACGTTTACATTTCCTTTGCTTCCCTCCCCCACCCCTCCTTGGTTTTCCCTGAGAAGGAGTGACCTGGGCAAAGACCCTGCTCTCTAAAAGACACTGTATAGACCTTTTAGAAGCGCAAAGTCCAAGGCCGAGGTGAACTTCAGGTCAGCGCGTCTAACAAATATGAAAATGTCGGCTGGTGAAGGGCGCGCCTTGTGATTTAACAAAGACTGTCAATGTGTAAGATTAATAAGAAACAAAATGCACACGGTGTCACTGTTCGGTCACTTTGAATCTTGGGACAGGGTTGCATTCAAGAGGGCAGGCTATTCCAAAGATATTCAAAATGATTCAAATCAGATTCAAACTAGGCTGCAAACCCTGCCTTCCTCTCGCCCTCCCTCTCCCTTGGACTCCCTTCGCTCTCCTTCTCCATCTGGGATTCGAGGACATGATGAAAAGTTGTTTCATTTAATGGGATTTTAAGAAAGCCTTTGTTGGGAATATATGTTATCCCTGCACGTGGAAATGAGCAAATGTGCTTACCAAGAAAAGGATAATGCTTCCACCCTGCTTGGAACTGGAGCCAGTTGGTGTGCGAAGATTAGCACACTCCCTCTCTGCTCCATTTCAGAGCATCCCATCTTTTTCTCGGGCGAGATGCTGCTGGTAAACTTCGGTTTATGTATTAATTGAGTTAGTTTCTTTCTGGCTTTACTTTGGTGTCTTGGATCTTATGTAAAGGCAAGAAGTGGTTTTTTAAAAATGTTTTTCAAAAGATTATTTGATTCAGTGGAATGATGCTGTGGCTTGCACAGGGAGATTGTGGAAGGATCAGAAAAGGTACTGAGATTGTTTATTACAGCCATAAATCTTGCAGTAAAATGTCAAAATGTCGGTGTGTGAGATAACACTTGGTGGTCCTGGCTCCGTTTGTGTTTATGATAGGAACCACAAAGACAAGTTACAGGCCTTGGGGGATTCTGTGTAAGCCCATCTTCCTAAAGTAATATAACCACATGAAACACAGGGGCAGTTAACTCGTTTAGGCTAACCATATACAAAACAGTGCCCATGCCTTGTTAATACTTTAAAATAGAAACCTGGTAGAAGGTTCTGAGGCTAAACAACATGAACTTTGTGTTTTTGTGTCTGTAAATAACATTAAACAAACATGGTTAAGACCCTAGTACTCAAGGCTGATGCCATGAGAATGACGGCAAAATTTCATTGTCATGTTCCTCCCCTCCTGCAAGCTTAGCAAGCCCAATTTTGTAAATTATATTATGTATATATTATTCAAGTTATATATTCAGCATATATATATATTTTTTTCTTACTGTAGAGAGATATTGGTTTAGGCAGCTGTATCACAGGCTAGATTTCCCCGGGAATCTAGAGAGAATGCCTAAAGATTACCCTCAGCATTGATTTCTGTCTGTGGCTCAGATTCCATTTAAAAAAAAAATTCAGGGTACCCCATGTCGATGGACAGCACTCTTCACAGACACACAGCCAATGTGGAAAACCTCTTTGTACCACTTCAGGGTGATTCCAGTTAAAAAGCTAACATGATCCCCTTTTAAACCTCTTTTCCTAAATTAGTTTAAAGATTAGTCCCATATAATAGGCTTTATGTGGCTAAGCATTAAATGACTATCCATCAAATGGATATTCCAGCATTTAGTAACTCATATGAGTAACCGATATAAATGAAGATAGAATTGACATTCCTTTTGAAGTGTCTCCAGGCTTAGGCTATAGCTTTCCTTGTCTGCCTTCCAGACTCAGTTGTGAGAAGGCTGTTTATACTGCTCTTTGAAAAATCAAGTAAGATGTACCAGCTGAAAAAAAGTCCTGGCTGTACATGCCAATATGAAAGTATTTTAGAAGAGTGACTATTCTGGCTTGTAGTGCTTTCATCTAGGCTGAAAAGTAGAGGATCTAGGTGTGTCTGTGACCCAGAAAAGGAAAGTACACAACAGGAGTAAGGCATCAGTATTTAATGCAAAGATCAACATTGGGTGGGATTAATAAGTAATTTATTTGTTAATAATGGTGTAATTAGTTTACCCATCACATTTCAATTACCAAATGGCAGGCAACAGTCCTCTCTCCCCCTTTTCCAGAGCTACTATTATCGTTAATATGCTAATTTCCAGTAATGCAGAAATGATAGGCTGTCCTGCAAACAGAACTTTACCCTGAGATTCAGTCTGAGAGAGCAGCGTCCAAAATACAAAACGTAATCTTCTTAGCGGGACAAGACTCGCCGGCCATCACACGGGGCAAAGTGCACTCTCCCCGTCGCTTGTTTCTGCTTAGGAGTTGTTCTGAAATGGGACGTTGCTGGTTTCAAAGCTCAGTTCTGTGCAGGCGCCGCGTCTATCCATCCCCCACCCCTGACCACCTCCTGTCTCCCAATCGCGCCTAGAAAATGCGAGTGTTTAACTCTCACATCAACACCTCCATCAGAGGAGGTGCTATTAGAAGGCTCTGAGTGTCCTTAGGCCCCCAGCCCCGCCATCAGATTTTGTCTCTAAAAGAAAGGCAGCATGAAACGCGCCCGTCCGGCCACACCGGGATGGCCTAGCGGCACGTTTCCGGGCCGGTTTCTCTCGGCTGTTCAGCCACCCGCTCTCGCGGCTCCTGCCGGGCTTCTCGGAGCGGGGACCCGGGCGCGGGCGCCGCGAGAGGGTGGGCAGGGGGATTAGCTGGGGAGAAAACGGGTCTATCGACCTCATTCGTTTTATTCCGGGGACAGGATTAAAATGAGACTATTTCCTCGATCCCAA